GGACCATTTGTCGATTTATGTGTGTCATCCTTGCGCAGGGGCCATTTGCTAATTACCCTTCTCTGTATCGTTCCAATTTTAACGGATGTCCCGAAGAACGTGACTCTTCAATTCTAACGTGTCCCGGGGGTTTCATATTTCCCGGATTTGTTCCCGCCTTCTCCTACATGCATGGTATCCAACCAGAGTTGGTATGACATGACATAATCTTCTACTTTTTTTTTTTTTTTTTTTTTAAATAATCTTCTACTTGTGTGGCGAGACTCTGCATCTTTGAAGTTTGTTTCAACTTTTTTGTGAGGTGGGACTTGGCAGCTTCTGTCGCTGAGTGGTCAGGGTTGTGTGGCTCGATTGGTTGGTGCAGTGTTAATGCCGAAAAGCGGTATAGCATCCCCACCCATCATCGGGCGCCCGCGAATGGGTGAAGAAGAGGTATACCAGACGGACGGATGAAAGATCTTCTTCACCTGCTCTGTCCACCCCCCCATTACACTCTGGGGCAGTCAATGCTGGCAGGAACGTGCAGTTTATTCTTTATCACAACAATGATCTCATTCCTTGATTGTATCGTGGGGGGCGATGCTGGACCCGTTTTCCAGCAGGTGTAGCTCCCCACCAATAGACTTGAGCAACCGGAAATCGTACTAGGGGCTGCTCATATCACTTTCACTAGTAATGATACTCTGTTTTTTTTTTTTTTTTTTTTTTTTTTTTTTTTGAAAGGCCTTCCATGATTCAGACCCCAAATTCGGACCTCAGGGCGTGTTTTGTTATTAAAAAAAAAAAAGGGTCAGATGCCCAGGTCAAGCAAACTCAGTAAAGTCACAATCGGGTACCTCAGCAGTCTGGTCCAACAGGCACCCAGCAAACAGTCACGTCTCAGCGACAAGAGTCACGTCTCATCATAAAAACTATGAAAAAGCCATTCGGAAGAGTCACACCCCACGAGTGAAAAGGCAGATTCAGCAAGCAAAGGTCATGTCTCAAAGGCAGGAGTGCCGTTTCCTAGTGAAAAGTCATATTGAAGAGTCACATCGCACGAGTAAAAGGTAGTATCACAGGCAAAAGTCGTGACCCACAAAAAGCCATTCA